TTACTCGGCTAATTCCAAAGTTACGGTTGGTGCGATGGACAAAATATGCTATTATTATCGGGCGTTAAAATTTCGCAATGAAAGACCCGGCATGAGTTGCGCATCAGGAAAAGTTGTATTGTCATCACTCCCTACTCCACTTGAACCTTTGAAATCCCTTCTTTCTGGCATTTCAAATGAATCAAAATTATTTTAGCGTAAGACACGAAAATCTAATTCTTGCTTTCAAATGACGTCGTTTGGAGGATCCAAAGTTTGTGATTTGTCATCTGATGTTCGTAATTTTGAGACAACATTCAAAAAAAGCCAGGTATACCATATAATTATTTTTAAAATCTATAAACATATCAGGAATGTCACCACACAATCTTCGATTGAAAATTGGATCACCGATTATTCTACTGCGTAATTTAAACCCTCCTAAACTATATAACGGTATATATTTGCTCATCAAAAAAATAGCTGGAAACGTTCTTGAAGCAACTATTTTGGCAGGGGGGTTTAAAGGAGAAATCGTTTTGTTACCACGTATTCCGATGATACCATCCGATTCTCCCATACCATTTAAAAAACTACTGTTTCTCATTCGTTTAGCTTTCGCGATGAATATAAATAAAAAAGGCCAAGGAATGTCTATTTGCAGGTTAGACTTGGAAAATCCATGTTTCTCTCATGGACAATTATGCGTGGCCTATTCAGGAGTAGGAAGACCATCCATCAAGTTTATTGTATAAACGAGGGCCAATTGATAAAAATATTGTACATCGATCGACAGCTGTGATTTATTACAGTTAAAAATATATAAAGTTTATATATATCAAATAAAAATATTTAAAGTATTTATTAAATAAATGTTAGAAAATCTTATGTTAATTTGTGTTAAATTTTGTGTTTCAAATCCTTCTTAAATCACTCAGCCACAGCAATGCGTAGCCCGGTCTGCTAGTATGTATATAAACAATCAGGGCGACGAGTCGATTTATCAATTTCTGTCTGTAAGCGAAATAGTCCCTCAGTTATTAAGATATCGATCTAAAATGTTCATCCTTATTTTTCTCACTAGGAAGCTGCTCATTTGTAGAAACAGGCGGTATCGCATATAGCTGCCATAAAAACTCACCGATCAGATTCTTGTGAAGAATCTTTGTATATGTGAAGAGTATTATAGCTTCATTACATGTATACATACTTTGCAATTAATTACCTACAAATATTTAACTCGGTGGGAGCGACTTAAGCCATCTGTACCCAAGCGGATATAAATTCACTTAAGTATTTCACTCTTTTTCATGCACGTTCACATCTATTTTTATTAAGTTTATTATCTTTTTACCCTTTGCACTCGCGTTGCCGTAATGGATCATTTATCTGACACAGTTTATATCTTACAGTTACATTTAACTCTCCCCACAATCCTTTGGTTGAGTTTGGTTTGCACGACTTGAAACCCATATTTAATAAATTGAAATTGATTACTTTTGCAGTTTCTTAAAATTTCATGGCTAGTAGTCTCGGGTGGAAAAAAGTTCTGACGCACATTGCAGTAACTAATATCGTGTTTTATTTATTTTATAAAAATAATCATTCCAAAATAAATTTCATGCGACTGAACGCAATCTTAATAGGGGTATATAATGATACATGATGTTATGTAAAGGCATATACATATGTATATGTATAAGAGAATATTATAATATAATCTGCGATTTAGATAAACGAAGTACTTGAATCAGAAACTCAACTGACAGAGTAGCGCCGTGCCTCGCTCGATCCAATGTGATGGATTAGTGTTGGGATTGCACTCCAGCAGCATTGCCACAACAAAATTAGTACTATGCCCAGTGGTAGAGAGTACCCCGCGACGTTCAGCAGTCTTATATAGAGGGCAAAGATAGACATGACGCTCTTTGAGATCGCTGCGCTTAACTGGTTTCATCCAAATCAAGGGCATGCGGTCGAATAATTCGCGAGGACGTGATTCTGCTAGCCAATTACCACCACGATCCCAGCAAGCACCTTCTAGGAAGACACCGTATACAAACACACCATCCGCTGGTGGTTTAATGCCTTTTGTTTCATCTTCTTCTAAGCGCAGTACGTCATAGTCGAATACCAACAAATCGATGGGTATAATATACTTACGAGCGAAATTCTGCTGAGCACCAGTGAGAAAAGCCTGTGTGAAGAAGAAACCAGAGAGCCAAAATGTTGACGGCGGACCATCATCGAACCATTTCTAGAAAGTTAAATAAGTTTGTCATTTTAGCTTTATGGCATAATATAATCATTTTATTTTTCTAATGTTGTGAATTTATAGTTTAAGATGTAAATACAGTTGGCATTCCTACTACAAACCAGAATTGGTGTTTGACGACTTAATTCCAACTTAAACGATCTTAGTGCTTGTAGTATATTCCATTTAAATGTCCAGATAATCGCAATCTAAGTAGAATCTTGTAGTGAAAGAGAGACGCCGACTATTGATGCGTCAATACAATTCAGGCAAATCCAATGTTTTTTACATTTGATTATTTTGCCTAATAGGAAAGGTGAACTCCAAAATGAGCACGGAAGGAAAATTTGTACAATAGGCAAATTCGACACCACGACAAATTTTATTATTAACTCTAGCGCTGTCATCAAAACTCTTCAGCAACTCAAAAATAAGGGCATAATAGACCGTAGGTCGCGGTGCATACCTCAAAATTAATCGAACTCAAAAATAATATGAAATCAGTTGTTGGCAAGCCTTTGTTTTCTGCGAACAGTCGTAGGAAGAACAATTGGATTTCAGTCAGCCTTACAAAAAAAATGGCAATAATGAAGTGCCCTTATATTACTGAAGATATGGACGCTAGCTATATATAGTAAATACACTAAGATCGGGCGAGAATAGAACTATAAGATACTTTAATAAAAACGTAGATGTGGACAAAGACTTTTTGGAAATTCGAATATCCCAAATCATAAATGAAGGTAACCCCACTACTGATGAGGGCTAAACACCTACTTTAACCCAGTACATAACGTCAAAATTAATTGTTCGGTAAGTGTTTAACACATTTCAATCTCAACAGTATACATCCATATGTACAGTACTCCACGCTTAACGCCACTGCACTTAATTGACAAATTCTATCAATTAACATCGTTCAACTGACTAACCTTAAGGCAGATACTTTATTAGATGATTATTGGTAGGGAAGAAGTAGGTGGAAGAATATTTTTAAAGCAGATCTCGACTCATACTTAATCTTTGCAAATCGCAACTAAATGTCATATGTTGTATATTTAGTTGTGATGCTGTCATATTTAGAGGATAAAACTGAAAAGAGGGTACATTTAATTTCTTTAAAGACCACCCTAAACCGCGTATTATTATGCTCTAGCAACCTGTTGCTACAGAGTATACGAGATGAGTTGAAATCCGGGTGACTGTCTGTCTGTCTGTCCGTACGTGCAAGCTGTAACTTGAGTAACAATTGATACATCGTCATGAAACTTTTTACACGTGTTTCTTGATCAAATTGGAAGAACGAGCTTGTAGATGGGTGTAATCGGACCACTTCCATGCCCACAAAACATCAATAATCGAAAACATATAAATTGCCATAACTTAGCCGGTAATTTGGTACAACGAATCGCAATAACAAGAGACACCTGCGGTTCGAACATTTTCAAAAGTGATAGTTTTAATTTCACCCAAATTTGTATAGGACAAATCATTTCGTCACTTCTTGCGACAGCGTGAAAATAGGTGACATCGAATGATAACCATGCCCACTCCCCAAATAACGGTTGTGTTAAATACTACTAAAAGTGCAATAAATCAATAACTGAATGCTTCAGAGACAATAAACTTTACATTAGGGATGGCACACGAGGACTTTAAAAGAGCCGTTATCATCGCCCACATTTAGGTGAAATCACATATATCCGGTCCTGCTCGACCAATTTCAACCAAATTTGGTATATAGGACTATTTTAGGGTGAAATTCCATCTGATTCTTTCATTTTCCAGTATATAAACCAAGAACCAACCTATATATCGGGATAAAACTATGCACGAATAGTGCTTTTCAGGTGTGCCACCTTATGACTAAAAATTGTCCAAATAGGACCATAACAATTCAAGCCTCTAGGTAAGTGGACCCTAAAATATCGGTAAGTGTGTAAGATATATAATTTAAATTAGGAAAGAATACTTTCCAGATAATAGTATGCAAGAAATTTTTTGAGTGGGTCCATTTTTCCTTAGCCCACATATACCTGATAGAACGATTTTTGTACTTCCGGCTGACCTTATACCGCATATATCGGTCAATATGTGAGTTATCTTAATTAGTTACTCCTTATACTAAAAGATACCATATTGTTGATGGTATGTATGATATCCAGTGACGGAAAGTAAAACATAGTTTTAAAATAATATTCGTAAGATTTTTTAATATAGAAATTTGTCAACACCTGAAAGTATTTCACTGGCTTTGAATCTGGGAAGTTGCAAGAGTAGAAATGTTGGCTTACATCCGAACTTTGCGCTTCCTTACTTGTTACTGATACTTTTTGCATAAATCAAAAGAGAAAACTAAAGATTTTGGAATGTTTGTTCTTGAATAATCACATAAATTTACAAAATTGGACGTATGTAAGGAAATAAGCTGAGTCCTTTTAAGCGAAAAATACTGTATTTTGAAGGAAACCTATCCAAACGATTACAATGACATTGCTTGGCAACGTAAACTAGTTAGCTACATACTTACGTTAGCCAAGGAAATCTTACCTGCAAAAAGCTCAAACGGTGCAGAAAATCATTAATGTAGCTTCCTAGTGGTTTTAAGCTCGGATACGACTTGCCAGCCCACATCGCTGGAATTTTGCTTATCAGTACGCTACGGTAAACAGCTTCCATGGCAGCAGACATCACAACAAGACCTGTGTCAAAGTAAAAATTTTAAATATGTTGTAAAACGTACTTTATACAACAAAAGAAATACGAAAGGATGAAATAAATAACAAAAAATAAATTTGTATATACATATATATTTGTGTGTATATTTGTGATACCATATAAATGTGTGTATTTTGTTAGTACTTGTAGTTTGGGCGCACAGGAGTCGACTCAAGCAAATAAACGAAAATCAGTTATCCCACGAATGCGAGTATGATACGAATTATCGATTTATATACATAAAAAAAAGTTCACTAATTTTCGAACTTCTAATTTGACATAAAAATATTTTTTGTAAATTTTTCAGCCATAATAATAAAATAAAACTACAAATAAAATCAGCAAAACTATGGGGGAACCCAGCCATCGCAAGCTTAGGAAACGCGCATTTAAAGGCGTTTACAACGCGGAATGCTCGACATCTGATGAAAAAAGCGATCTCAAGACGCTTAAGAACGCGAGGAACAAAGCTGCAACCGCTAAGATGTATCCAAGGCACGAGATAATGTTCTCGAAGGAACCAGGTCTGGAGAATTACGCATTCCGCAAGGAGTTAACAGTTACACCGAGCGACTACGACTACTCACTAACATCTGACTCAACCGATTCATTAAGTCATTCCTACAATCGTATTTCAACGCGCCTGCGAGGAGGTATTATGTTGTTATCATTTTGTTTATTAATTATTTTTGTTGAAACTGTTTTCATTAGGAGTCAACAACCCGGCCGAAAGGCGTGTCACGGGTATTGTTACTGCACCCAGCGAATGTAAATCCAAAGCACTGGGCCTAGATCACATTACACCAGACACGAAAGTAAATGTTGTCGAAATGAAATTGAATCTTTCTGTCGAAGCAGAGAATAGTCCTGCTCAAAAATATGCTTACTGTAAATATTTTGAAGAGATTAAGGAGAAAAAAGTCAAAACTAGAGGGACGCAGTCATTGTATCGGTAAGCACATGTATTGGGACCAGGGTTGCGAATCTATTAACTTATAATATTTGGATTGAAAATTTAGTGTTTATTTTTTAATCCCAATGTTAAGGTTAAAATTAAGATTTTCATTTTTTAATCAAGATGTTTGGGATTACAAAAAAAAATTGAATTCACATGTTCATTCAAATTTTTTTTTATGCATTATTTGCAACCCTGATTGGGACTGTTTTAAACATAAAATAATTTGTTAGTAATTTATCTTAAAAAGAAATCTTAGGCTTTCTGTTTTTGTAAAGTTTCGATTATTAGAAAATTTTTTTGTCCCCTCGTCACTTTTGAGTCATAAAGATGTGCATATAACAAACTTCTCACTGATCATAAACTTACATTACCTCTCTCCAGTGAATCCTCTGCTCAAACTTTGCCTTATCTTCCTGAAATTGCAAATACCGAGCGTGATTTAGAGCAAATAGAGCTTTTCAAATTACCCACCATTTTACCTGGCGATGGCCCTCCCGGTTTATATCAAGTTGAAGTACTTGAAAGAGCGCGTAAGCGTTGGGCTTTCGCTCGAGCACTAAAAGAGAATCTGAGACGTCAAATCCAGGAAGTGAAGGAACAAGCCAGGCTTTCGGAAGATAGTGTTGTACTACAAGCTTTCGAATGGGAACATTGGATAGAACGCGAAGAGTACATACAAGAATGCCAGATGTTACGACTAGAAATACTTATTGGCATGTTCAATAAGCGGGAAGAGAAAATGCATACCACCTCAAAGGTACGCATTGAGCGCAGCTATGAAGAAATACTTGCACGCCGTGATGCTTCCTTGCATAAGAATCAGGTGGAGTATGAAAGAGGGATTCGCCAACTGGAAATCAAACGGCGACGTGTGCCAAAGTGTTGGCGTAAAGAAAATATTGTTAGCCAGCTCGGTAGTCCGAGCTCGGAGTTTTATGGACCACAGTTACGTTACGGTGTCAATCCGGCACGCAGACACTTTGTTGGTGGTCGTAAGGAATTTGAAGCGCGTATGGATGATTTAGAAAAGCGAGCAGTTCAATTTACAAAGCTAATATGTCCGTTCGCAAAGCTTAAAGAATGGGCTAAACCCAAGCAACGCCTTTTGGAAATCGAACAGAATTTCTGCTCTGATGAGAACCTTCAGAAAATGTATGAAACCTTAACGGTAAGTAAATAATATTTTTATTTACGTAATAACTTTTTTCACAATTTAGTTTCTATCTTTTAGAGTTTACGTAAAAAAGCTGTAAAGCAAAAGATCATGCCAAAATGTCTCATCCAGAAGACCAAGCCAGTTGTAACAAGTAAAGTTATATCCAGATCAGATTACAATATGGAAACCAAAGTTGAAGAAAACGTTGAAGTTTATGAGATTCCAGAAAAGAAAGCCAGCGAAGGTGAGCTTAAACGCATAGAAGACCGGAAATTCCGACAATCTATAGAAGATAAAAAGCAACGAGCACAATATCTTTTGCAGGAACTTTATAATGAGGAAGTCGAAGGCATGGTCAAAGAGTATGAAGGTACTACAATAGGGTGGATTATGCGTTTCTTATCAGAAGAAATGGGTCGCTTGCAAGAGCAACGTCTATTACATTATATCACAATGTTAGCACAAAAGGAGCGTTGGCGGCGTGAAGCGGCCGAAGCTGGGCTGCGACAGAAAGAAAATAATATGCGAAAAATATACGAAGAAGTATATAACGAAACGATGGATGTTTGCCTTATTGGCCGCACATATCTGAATACGATTTTAGATAAAGACATCCCGAATATTGCTCATCATAAGGCAGAAGATGAAGTCTTAGATATGGCACGAATCATCGACATAGACATACAACGCTGGTTGGATTCACTGTATGACATACAAAACCCACTAAATTATGATTCCCTTCGCTATAACCTCAAGAAGATAATGTTTCCTGATCTGAATGAAATTTTAAAGCAAATAGAGATTAAACAGATGTTACATAATATTATTGAAGAAGTGCTTTTCGATAAAATTTTTACAGCTTTGGAAGCTTACGATATATGTACATTCCTGGTGAAAGAACTGGTCGATCGTCTCATCGATCTCGATTTGTACTACTTTACTTCAGAAGACACTTCAAATTGTTCTTGTCTCGCTTGCGAATGTGGAGAGAATGACCGTGAAATAAGAGCTCTATTACGAAAATTAATACGATGTGCTGTGCCTGGTCGGCGATGGAAAACACCACTCGAGCGCACAGTCAAAGAATTGCTAGTTGATTTGATCAAAGAAGTGGTTGAAGTCACCAATGCCAGAGGATCAATATTCGAAAGTGATAGCTGGACTCGGTTTTGTAAATTACAGTTATCTCCTTCACATATGGATTTACGTTATCCCTCCACCCACGCCCTTAAATCCTCTTCCTTATCATCCGAGTCTTCGACAACTTCTATTGATTTAATTGATAACATTTTAACTGGTGTGTATGCAGAACACGAACCATTTTGGACGCAAAGTGAATTGTCATCTTCAGCTAAAAAAGAGGAGGATATATCATCTGTCTTTCAGTATATGCCGGAAGCCGTAAGTAGCTTGAATATATCATTCTTAAATTATTGACATTAGCTCTGATAGATATTCTGGGAGATTAGTTTGTGCCAGAACTCATTTACACATATATTTCTAGTTTTACTATGAACCGTCCGAGACCACCGACCCTGAATCAGACACATTGCCAGTAAAAGTCTTAAATGAAATCTACAAAGAACTTTTACATTTCATAGGACCTGAGGATGAAAGCGATGATATAGTACAAGCTGAAGATAGACAGAGTACCAGTAGAAGCAGCCAAAGTCGTAAAAGCAATGATGGTGGCTTACGAAGTATAATGGAAGAAGTGTTTAGAAAAATATCAATTCTTGAAAACGAAAGTGAAGGTATTGAAACTATAGAGCGTTCTGCATCTTCTGAAGTACCCATACGAGCACAAATTAAAACAGATGAGGAGGAAATCGCTGAAATCTATCAAAAATCATTACCCCTTGAATTAATCACTGACCAATCAAGCGAACGATTTTCCTTCCAATCATCTGGGGAGAGTATTGAAGAACCGTTAACACAAGCGCTCGAGTTTTCCACGACCACAGCCGTAAAAGTCGTGAAGACTCCTAAAACACCATCCAAAGAAGAGATACAAGAATTAGTAGGACAACCAGAGGAAGCATTGAAATCAGAAGAAGAGGCGCACTTAGAAAAGCATTCCTGGCGAGGCAGTGATATAAGCAAGAAGTCGTCTTTACGTAGTCAACGTGAAAGTGCTTATATCACGTCACGCGTACGGATCAGTGAGAAATCAGAGATAGCTGAGTTTAAAAAATCGCCCTCGCAGATAAGTGTTGAAAAACCGACAGGAACACGTGAGTCTGCTCATGTTCGTATCAGTCAGGAAATCTTGCAAGCGGAAGACAAGCCAGAGGCTGATGAATAACGCAGTTAATCAATTATTATATTCATATTTGTTATATATTTTTTACAGATGTAATACGATTTTTATGAATATTCTCTACAAATAAAAATATATTTTCAATTATTTCTATTTCAATTACTTGTTTCTCTTAGATATACATGGGTATATAACATTTTTGAGTACTTAATATAACTACATACACATCGCACACTACTACAAAAACGTCACAACTCGAAATATGACCTATAAACATTATTAAAATTTTACAGTTACTTCGTCGTCCATAATGGAAAATATCTTCTTTAAAGAGCGTCTTACAATAGTGTGATAATCTCAATTATTTCATCAAAAGTGATACATTTCATATAGTAGAGATGAATAAACTCACTTTTTTTGATAAAGAGACACAACTTCGCAGAATACAGCAGAAAATTTACAATTTATTGCAGCAGTAGCGACACAACTACAAATACTTGTAGTAATCTTTAGTTGATACTGCACAAGCGATGCACGCGACGCAATTAACACAAAATTAGAACTAACGGTGATTTTCCAGTTAAGTAAGATAGTGATGACAATGAAATTTCTTGGGTTTTGAAAATATTTGAGTTGTGACTCTTTTGTAGGTACTGTGCGATATATGTATGTATGTATTGTACTTTGTACAAAGTTGCATGAAACGGCTATCATTCAGCGTTACCGTTTCAAACTAAATTGTGATAAGATATTTTTTATACTCTCGTAACACGTTGCATACAAATCGGTATTAAAAATACAGAATCACTTTACCATGTGTAAATTTAGCACCAGTTAAGATATTCTGATATGATTGTTTGAATTTCTTATGTTACGTTGTAACAATGGGTGAAATCGGACTATTGCAACATTTTGAATTACTCTCGCAAGCTGTTGCTACAGAGTATAATAGTTTTTTTCAACTAACGGTTGTTTGTATCACCTAAAACTAATCGAGTTAGATTTAGGGTTATATATATATAAATGATCAGAATGAAGAGACGAGTTGTAATTCGGGTGACTATCTGTCCGTCCATCCGTCCGTCCGTGCAACTTGAGTAAAAATGTTCTGGTACACATGTTTCTTGCTACCGTAAGACGGTGGTATTGCAGATGGACGTAATCGGACCACTGCCACGCCCACAAAACGCCATTAATCAAAAACCAATAAATTGCCATAACTAAGCTCCACAATAAGATACAAGGCTGTTATTTAGTACAACGAATTGCATTAGGGTGTAGCATCTAGAGATGAAAAATTTTTTAAAGTGGGTGTGGCCTTGCCCTCTAATAAGTTAAATTTAAATATTTCCTAATCCACTCTAGCTATAATACTAAAACTCGTTGAGGGCATATATTTTTAGCACCCCTACTCATCCTGTGAAAATGGGTGAATTCGCCCACTCCCCATATAATGGTTTTGTTAAAAACTACTACAAGTGCAATAAATCTATAAATGAATACGCCAGAGACGTTTACAATTAATTTTACACCTGAGATGGTATGAAAAGGCTTTATAGGAGCCAGTGTTAAATTTGAAATATGGGCGTGGCATCGCCCCCATTTAGGTGAAAATCCATATCTCATGACCTTCTTGACCGATTCCAACAATATTCAGTAGGTAATATTATTTTGAAATTCAAACTACCAAAACCTATTTAAGCCTCCAGATACCGAATATGTGGATGACAGGTCCTAGTGCAAACTTGTTACCAAAAATAATGGTAATTCTGTAAAATATAATATATTATGGAAATTCGGTATGTCAAAAAAATTGGATAAGGGTGTTTTACTAATAACGGTGCATTTTGAGCCAAAAATTTATAAAAATCGGGTCAAAACTTCCCCTAGACCCCATATAACTAACTAAATGTATGCACCTGAAAATATTTCCCGGGTTTTGATCCTGGCAAATTGCAAGAGAATGAAATGTTCAGAAGAAAACGATGGAGACCCTATAAAATAAATATTTATATATGACCAGCGCGACGGGCTGAGTTGATTTAACCATGTCCGTCATAGAAACTGAACGATCAAAATTAAGTTCTTGTACGAAAAACTTTTTGATTTAAAGAGATATCTTCACAAAATTTGGCAGGGATGCCTGTTCAATGCAATGACTGAAGAAATTTTCTAGATCGGACTTCTATATCACATAGCTGTCATACAAACTTAACGATCAGAATCAAGTTATTGTATGGAAGCTTCTTTATTTGTGAAGGTTATTCTAATTCGGTGCAACCAAAGTTATCGTTTTTTCTTGTTTCTAAGTTTGTTCTCCCCTTTGACAATATAGGTAATTAAATTTTAGAAGATCGTAACTTACCCTTTATTCCTTTGCGCAATGTTATCAAACTGGTACGAATGGTGCTGAGTAAAACATTGAAACGTGTCATCTCCTGCACAAGCACCGTATTCATACTCTGATGGTAGCTTGTCGGATAGCGAGATATGGCAGCGTCTCGATCAAAGTCATTTGGTAATTTATTTAGTATGTCGGTGGCAACGTTCGTTACCACTTCTTCTGGCGTTAAAACTTTCTTGCCTTCGCCTTCATCGCCAGCAGATGAGGAGCTTGTGTCCTTAATAAAAAAAGGGGGAATATAAGGATGGGTTGGGACAGTGGGTAGGAAAAGGTTCTCAGGGTAACGCTTGGACAAGGTTTCAACAAAAAAACTATGCGACTTTTCTAAAATCTAAATAAAAGGGAGCAACCATTTTAATTTTTAAATAAAACTAAGGTAACTACAGAAATTGAATACTTACACGACGCTGATAAAAATCCTATTATACAAAAGTTATAATCTTAGTACAAAGTCATCAAAAACTAATACAGAAATGAATATACTTACCAAACGATCCTACGAAGGCATTGAATTTTAATAAAAATGCAATTTTTTAAATATTCTGAACATCAAAAAATACTTAAACTTACTATTATAGCAAAACAATAACTTATTAGGCTATTCCCTCATCTATTCAATTGCAGACTCACCTGTGTCAGCAGCGTATGACTCAGTAGCATATCCGTCTCATGTTGGTCCTTCATTATGTCGGCGTTTGCATGGAACCCGAATATACCCGGTGCAGTTTGTATAGGTAACTCGCGTGTATAATTCAAATACAGTTCTAACTCCTTAAACACTGGTATACAGTATACTTTTTCATCGTCGAAGTAATGACGATCTTCTAGGTCCAATACTTTAGGACTATAATAAATATTCAATATAGTTTTCAAAGTTCTTCGGTCCCAATCATCGGTGACACGTCCACCATAGTTGCATTCGCCAGTTAAATATCGCAAAGCGTCGTAATTCACACCCTCATATTGATCCAAAAACATTTTTAACTGCATTAAACTTATACGCAAATCGGTCTCGTTGAATTCATAAGGAATATTCCAGCCGATAGGACCAAAGTAACGTCGCTCTTGTATGACAGCGTGGAAGAAGCACAACGAATAGATCAATTGTTTGAAAGTCTGAGTCTGTTTACATGACTCGAACCACTCTGGATCACTGATGGGATCGCTTAAGAGCGAACGCGTTATATTCGAACGTAAACCTTTTGGCGGTTCATTTGTCATTTTAATGCCGTTTTGCAGAACGACAACTGGGAAATGATCGGCAGGGTATGAGGTGAGCCAGAGTCGAAAGTCTGGATGTGTGGCATCGGGCACTAAATTTTCGCACACTTTTTCCAGTGTAGGCATAAAACTCTTGGCCAAATGACAATTCTGTAGCACTACCCAATTTCCGAGTTTAATGCCGTCGTCGATCATTTTTGTGGCAATAGGCCCTTGTCCTTGTCCAAGGGAGAGCGAAAACAAACGATTTGTACCGAACCCTTGTTCGTCAGCGAACTTCAAAAGTGTCGCTGTGGGGTCCGAGCCAGGCGTTAAGATGAAAATAAGTGGTATGCAACAATGAGAATCCGAAAAGGAGGCCATCAGATCAAATTGCGGTGGATCAACGAATTCAAGGCCCAATTGTTCTGAAATGAATAGACAGGCATCATATAAGTTAATTTTGGAGTATTTTTCTACTTTTAGTTGTATAAATTAAATGCAGGTATTGTGTTTATTTAAATATCTAGGAATATTCCCGTTTAAACTTATTTACCAATGTGAAGTTGTAGATCTGACAAAGCTAGGAATTTTATTTAAAACAAAAGATATAGAAAATGACGTTCAAAAAGAGGAAAAAATATATAAACTAATCACGATGAAATTTCACTACTTTTTATACTACCTATGAGCTTCTATAGTAACTGGTGTGGCTTCTGAGCTAAGTAATAAAGTAGAAATACACTTCTATTGGACGCCCTTTTTAACCACTTCCAAGCTCGAACTATTTGAGTGGCTTTTCAATTATTTTAATTATAAATCCGAAGACTTTTTTATTTTAGCATTTTTCAATCTATAACTAAAGTCAATTTTGGATTATATGGTTAACAAATTAAACTTATAAATATGTTGGTATTGTTAAGTTCCAAACATATTAACGTATACATATATTATATTTAATAAACTGTTATATTTTGTTCTCTCATCACTTACCACCAACAAATTTCATTACTGCTGGAACCAATTTATCCGAGCGGAAGACGCGTAATAACAGTAACTTCTGGAATAAAGTCAATTTAGCCGCCCATGACGGTGGTATCACGGTATTGTCTTGTGGCGTTTTCGAGTCAAAGAATAATTTCCAATCACTTAAATTGCTAGTGACATGTTCACGTAATCCCTTAAAATTGGGTAATTCCGAGAGACGACAAATTTCATTCCAACTATTAACGCCTAACCAGCGGGCGGGGTTTGCATGGGGATTATCCAACCCAATGCCACCAGTTAGCAGAAACATCCATTCCGTATTGTCAATCAAGTTTTCAGCCTTCATGAGGTTTATGTTCAAAATCAATGAAAAAAGCAACTTATCCTGAGAGTTAAAGAGAGTAAAGGATGAAGAGAGTGACTTAGATTACATACAAAGGAAGTTTTTCAAAAAATAAGTGCACTACATACCTCGTTTAAAATATATACAGACATACTTGGGATATTACCATAAATATTAATTAAGTTCACAGATGTACATATGAGACAATAACACAATACAGAAGGT